CCGCTTGATGTAGACTATACTGACATGTCTTTGTGTACGTTTTAGCCATTAAATCCTTGATGTGCTTCCAAAATAGAATATTTGAGTGTACAGCTGCCATCTTGTTCCTACTCAACTTTCTTCTGGTCATGATAGAAGAGCATTGCACTATGATGAGTACAGAGATGCTCCTTGTTCAGTACTACCGATAGAGAAGGTCTCATACCTACAGATTAGGCCTGTCTTCCTCAGCTTGAGAATGCCAAATAACCTGCTATTTTAACTATCCCGATCGCAAAGTATCCAGCTAATATGCGTCTTCATCAGCCCGCAGTTGCAATTAGCGGGATATTTGGTCGAAATAATCATCCCAAGATATCCCAAAATATCCCACTATTTGTCCGGTGCGTCTTCACCAGCCCGAAGACTCCCACTATGCGCGAACGCTGAGCAAAATATCTCGAGCTAATTTCTCGAGGTCAAGTTTTGAGTTTCGAGGTCGAGTCTCGAGCTGATGAGGACGCGATTTGTAACTTTGAGCTTATTTCCCAAATCAGAAATAGTGGGCTATTTGACAATCTCAAGCTGATGTGGACATACCTATTGACGATGAGAAGATGAGATGGAAATCATATAAAGGGAGGTGCGGAGGTCTAGTGGATATGTCACCGGACTGTGGATCACTTGGTTCATGGTTCAAGCCCCGCCACGGCACTAATGTCCTTGAAACAAGTACATTGCCATATGAGTACAGGAAAACTCCTTGTTTTATATAACCGATAGAGAAGGTCTCATAACTTCAGATTTACATCTTATAAGATGTTGAGAAGAAGAGATGGAAATCATATAAAGGGAGGTACGGAGGTCTAGTGGGTATGTCGCCAGGCTTTGGATCACTTGGTTCAGGGTTCAAGTTCCGTCGCTGCACTAATGTCCTTGAAACATGAACATTGCACTATGAGTACAGAGATGCTCCTTGTTCAGTATTATGGGTAGAGAAGGTCTCATACCCACAGATTGAGATCTTAAAGGATGATGAGATGATCAACGAGATGGAAATCATAAAAGGGAGGTGCGGAGGGCTAGTGGGTATGTCACAGGACCGTCGATAACTTGGTTCGCGTTTTAAGTCCTGCCGCGGCACCAATGTTCTTTGGCAAGACACTAATCTACAGTACATTTGCCAAAATTGACCCAGGTGAGGCAAATGGGTACCTGGCGGGAATTAATTCCTTGAGATGCTAGACCATCATAATGGCAGCCATGCTAAAATGAAGGTAATAACTGAGGAGTGCCAAGAGTGTCAAATCTGACAGATGTGAGCGCTTTACAAGAAACCACCATTATTATTATTTTAAAGGGATCCGGTAACTTTGTCTCAGATTCTGAAACAAAATTCTGGATTTAGCTCATGATGTAATGATAATTATAAACCTTTAGGTCAGTCAGGAGCCCCATGACTTTTACAAGCCGATCGCCTGTCTGATTATCAAGATATTTATGATTGGAATTACAAATTTTGAAAACCGTTCGCCTGACGGTTTTCATAACACTACAGTCTATTGGGGAAAACGAGTATGGTAAAACCGGTCACTCAAAGATTTTTACTTTTTTGAGGCACTTCTTGATCATTTTGAAGCGCAATCTTTTTATGGCTTCAATATTACACCATATCACAGACACTGATAACACTTAGGGCCGTGTTTCTCAGATTTAACATTGTTAAACGATCCCTTTAAAGAAAGATAGTAGACAGTGAGTCAAGTAGGAGAATTGCATGTATCAGGACTGCATTGTTGAAAATATTCATTATATTCACCATAGATGTAAAAGTAGAGAATAAGTAATACAAAATTAGTGTAATGTACCACTTTCAGCATATTAGATCCTGTGGATAAGACACACATACATGTAGGTTCTCTTAGAATGTATTGATATTCCAACGCTCAACACCCTTTCCACTTCACAAATAATAACACAGCATATGTTTATAACATGAAGCTTGACACACCCACCATCTGAGGCCTATAAGAATCCCTAAACTTGTCCATTGTCTCTAGCCTGGCAGAAGTACAACTTTTCACTTGTCATTTTCCATTTTTTACTCCGACTGCCTCTTTCATTCAATCAGACACCTCCATGGCCATGCATGAGTCAGGGTTCAGTGTCATCACATTCAGGTCATATTGATACCATTTATGATTGATGATTTACCTACAAAATCAATCTACACAGTATTCGTCTGTTAGTAGTGTTTGGAGACAGAAGGGCGTTCATGAGTTAATGCCTTTTGGCTCCAGTGTCATCAAATTCAGGTCATATTGATACCATTTACAATTGATGGTTTACCTACAAATTCAATCTACACAGCATCTGTCTGTTTAGTGTTTGGAGCTAAAAGGGTGATAACTTTATCAGGTATTTGAGATAACGTCCTTCTGCCTCCAAACAGACGATGTCATATTTCAGTGACTCAAATGATTGTGGTTTACAATTATGCAATTTATTTTGGTATATCCTGTCAATGAATACCGGTAGTCTGTATGGCTTTCCAAGAGAATATCATCCGTTGAGAGCCAGAAGGGTGTTAACTCTGTGTAATAGAATGCTAACGCCCTTCTGGCTCCAAAAACTAATGAATTTTGTTTTCCAAAATGTATTAAGTGTAACAATGCATGTACCGTAGATGCAATGTCAATCACTCTGTAACTCAAAACAATTGTGAGAAGTACATTTTAGATCTCAATGGATAAACTGTGTATGTCTTCATAGAAAAGTTAAACTATGATTGTTTATGAATATAAAGTCAAACAATGCAACAAAAATTGGCAACAGTTCCATCTCTTGGCTCTCCATATTGTCCCTGTTGATTATAAATGATGTGTGACTTCTATTCAAGGAAGACATTAATAAGCATGCTTCCTTTTTCTTTCTTCTTAGATACCGTAGTAGTATTGATGTAATATGAATTTTCTAAAAACTGTTGTTATCGTATTGTTATCATATTGCAAATGACAAACCCATCAAAACCCAAGGACAACCATTAGTCATTCATCCATTGTTTACAAATAACTCCATAATGAGACATATCATTCAGTCTTTAAAAGACTGAATAATATAGCACTATCCATTAAATGCTTACAGTCTAAAAACTAAAAAGTTAAATAACTGTTTGCGATGGTGACTACTACATGTGAATGTATGCTAATGAAGTCTGTACTAAATTGGGTTTTTCAAAAGGAAATCTATGCTTTCTATCTCAAACTACGAACCTTCCCGGCCGGCCGACGAGAAGGAAGGTTAAAGACAGGTCATCTCGGAGCAGTTGCCTTTAGACACCGCCAGACATCTTATCTGATTAGTCGTGTTTTTGAATAATGTGAGCTGTTTGCTCAAATGGATGGGTAATGTCTAAATAAAGACACTGCCAATTTCATACTGAACGATGTGGAGACCCCCCCCCCCCCTATTGTGTTCTTACATCTGAAATATGTAATAGGAATGTTAACGTAATATTTAATGGGAATCACAATGCTTTCTTTTTTTTTTAATGATTTTCATACTTTGTTTTGTATGATTTGTTCTTCTATGTAATCCTCTGTATACACTTTGTTTTGCCAAATAAATAATAATAATAATATTTCTTCATTGTAAGATTATATTAAAGGTAAAGACCAGTAATGGTCATGCGATTGCATTGTGAAAGAAATGTTGTGGAATCGATCAGAAAAGGTTGATCATCTAGCATCTAGCACCTGCAAGGTTCTGGAATCATCAAAATGATAAGAAATTTGGCCCATTCTTCGTAAAGTTACAAGCACTATACACAGAAAGATGTATATGGGACTACCCTATCTCTCTCACCAGACCATGAGAGAAATAAGTTTACCAAATATATGAATTAGTAGGCGGTTTCCCGGCAAATTTTTTATCATCATGTATTAGTCAAACATATTCTTTCACATGATTGGTAATGAGAGCTTCCATTTCATTTTTTGAAATTGGGGCGTTGCCAATACTGGTCTTTACCTTTAAAAACCAGCACATTTTTCAAGTAAAACAACACTCCAGAAAACTACATGATGGGGTGGAACTTTTAGATACTGTGCCAATTGAGGTTTTTACTCAAGGTGCTGTTTATAGCTATACCTGTGATCGACAATTATCCTATAATAAGTGTAAAAGGCCTACCATCCCATCCAAGACCAAGACCAACACCCTTCCCAACAATGCCCCTGTACCACTGAGGATTTAATTTGACACTTTTATAAATTTCCTCTTTGATCTCTTCAATTGAGTAATATTTTGAAATGAGATAATTTTGTTGTTACGGTACTTCGAAAATATATTTTAAGGACTGATAAAATAAACAATTTGAAGAACTATAGCAAAAACTAAGAATGCTGCAACCGCAGACAAGGATCTCACTTTGACAAGACAGTATAGTGATGCATGGGTGTTTTTATACTCTTTTGCCACTCAGAAACAGCGTTTCTATACATACATAGTTATATCGAACCCCACTATACTGTGAACTGTGAATTGTGGGATATCACTTTTATCGTCTCTTCACGATTCAAAATAAAGGCCTTGTCTCTGCGCAGCTGCTTTGTGCCGTTTGGCCCGGGAAGCAGAAAGTTCCTCGGAGGTCAACTAGGGCACAGCACAAGGCGCGGGCTATTTCTCCGAACCGGAAATTAGCCTGGGAAGGTCCAATATGTGTGTTTCAAAGCAGAATCGTCTCTCAGAAACATAATTCTGGTTCATTCTCACATTCAAAACTCACTTTTTTTTGCATGTGAATATACCCATAATCTAAAGACGTTTGAAAAAAGCCTTGCATTTATCGCCACGCAAATTTGCTTGAAACACGTTTGAAAACGCTGATTCTAGGCCAGAAAAGGGATGATAAACACACCCTTTGATGCAGAGAGGGAGGTTTCAGAAGGGAGATCAAGTAGATTAGCCATATCATTCCACATCCAGTACATGTACAGCTGTGATTCATAGTTATACCTTACCTTCGAGAGATCTCGGGGGCTCTGGGATTGGTCAGATACCTCATTCTGTTGCACCTTGACCAACGCTTACAAAGAATAATTTGTTAATCCAATAAAAATCTAGCAACCTTGCAAACAGGGTTCATTCTCAGAAAAATGGTGAATATCCACAAGATCACTGAAAGTACAATCTCAGAATAAAGATATATGATTACCCTATCTATATCCCTATAGAATCACAGATATATACATTAAAATGCAGAAACGTCCTCATTCTATCGGCTGAATGAATGGAACGATTTCTTGTAGGAAGCAAAAGTTCTCCACATTTAAAAGAAACTGGTCGACTCCTAACAAATCCACATTATCAGACCATTCCTGGAGTTTGCATCAATATCACAGTTATGATCCACTAATCCTTAGAGAGCAATAGTTCTTCAAACAAGGCCTTCTTCAATAAATGATTCAAAATGACAAATGTTCATATCCTTCTCGTATTAAAGTGCTAATTCCCTCTAAACAATGGCACTATATCTGTCACATGTGCAGTGTCTTGCTACTGAACATTGCAGTCCCTCTCTGCGCCTTTCCCCGGTTCGGTCCTCGCGAGTTGAGAGCGAGTTTGACGTGTCTTCAGACGTTCCTGTGAGTTTACCTCAGGATGTGACGGCTAGAACGGCTCCTAGTTTGCAGACAAGAACCCTTGTCTGTCAGAGCGCTTGACAGAGTGTCTGATTTGCGAGACTACGCAGACCTCAAGGTCTACTGCATCCCATAAGCCCTGTACGATAGCTGCTCGTGGCACAGGCAGAGACCAACAGTTAGGCTCGGCTCACGACTGAATGGAACTGTGTTTAAGAGTCCACACAGAGTCTATCCCTGCAGACTAAACCGACCCAGTCACAGGAAACACTGCAAGACTACTGTGAAGGGGGCAGAGAGAGAGCGAGGCATAGACTCACAGGGGAAGGGGGCAATTGTATCGGATCGCAACGAGAAAGGAAGGTCTTCACTGCAAGTTCATTTGCATTGAAGAAGTTTGATACATAAGTTATCGCTCACACTTAAAGCTACTGTTTGAGATATTCAGGCAGCATTATTGTGAAAGAAGTTGAAACTGCTGAATCATATCCCTAAAAACTTTTTGGGAAAGGATCAATCTTTAGAAAAGAAAGACATAAAGACGTGTAAAGATGTCGATCTAAGAATTCAAATATAAATATATCATCAATATCAACAATGTAGCAGGCGCGATTTCAAGGAATTGTGTATCATTATAACCTGTAAAACCAGGATTTTTTGTGTCAAGCAATTTTGTGTCAAAAAAATTTTTAGGACTTGTTTATAATGACAGGTGTTTTTTATGTAAGGAACTTTCATAAAATAGTAAAAATTTACTTGAAATTATATTTGAAACATGTAGAATACGAGACATTCTCCAAAAATGAAAAAATGAAAATTTCAAAATTTACAATTATCTTGTTTTTTTCCAACATTACTTTCCAAAAGTCGAGAAGTACCTTTAATCACTTCATACTGAATAACTTTAACCTTGTTGGAACCCTAAGGCGGCGGAGGAACTAGAAACTATTTTTATAAGCAGGAGATGTGTCATCCTACCTACCCGGTAAACGTGGGCAGTGTACATTAATCATGCTCACAAACATTTCTCTCTGATTACTGCATTAAATATTGATTATTACTAAAAAGCATAAGGAGAGAACATGCGGCTGGCTGTTTTTGGACCTATCACATTTGTTTTTGTGACTTTAAATACTGTGTTGGCTATTGAAGGTTATTTCTATTTTTGATTTCTACAAAAAACAGGAATTGGAAGCATACCGGTAATGTGTAAATGAAGGCCCTCTGTATCCATATTATTGAAATTGTTAACACAAAGCCATGAATCCATTCACTTTTATTCAGAGTCAATGAATCTAATTATTTTTTTTAGTTGAATATTTAATGAAGTACTTTCAACAGGATAAAATTTCACCAAGTTTACATATAGTAGTATACGGTAGGCTTACGGTCGCACCATGTGTGAGAGAGGGGGAGGTTTGGGGAGCCCTGAACAAAGGACTGTCGGTAATCTTTCTTGTAGTCTATTGTAGAAGGTTACATAATATGTGTGATGAAAGTAGATGACTTCCAGCTTAGACTATAGTGCTAGACATACTCTACATTACTGGGCAAATGGTACAGATGGTGGAGCAGCAATGAAACATAAAATGAGTAAATAGTTAGACAACATGTTGCAAATGTGGATCATGGTAAAAATATCATACTCCACTCAAATTATTTATTTTATTCAGAGCACAGCCCTGTCTCATCAAAAGGTGCAAATTCATTCCACATGATTACAAGTTTATATGAATCGTAAGTCGTAACTCTGTTGAATCTACAGGGGTGGCAGTTTGTAAGTATGCAACTGATCGGACAACTTGCAATCAATCCAGTTCAATTGAAACTCTTTATACGACAGGGCCCACGTAAGAAAAAAAATGAAGACACAACACTTTGATCATGTATTCAAACATTTATCAATGGCTTATTAGCCAACTAGTAACAGCATATATGCAACATATTAAGAAGACAGTATACTCTGTCTGAACACACTGTCAAGTCTTGCAAGTTGCAACAATATGATGAGGAAGGAAAAACAATTTATCAAATCTAACAGGGTCAATTCATCTGAGTATTAGTCATCGAGATCATAATTATACCTGCAGTCAATGACATGCGTGTAGCTACAGGGGGGCACAGGGGTCAGGTACCCTTATCCCCCCCCCCCCCCATTAAGTTGAGAAATGGAAAGAAAAGAGAAAGGGGGAGAAGGGAGAAGATGGGGAGAAGATGGGGAGAGAATGAAAGGGAAGGTGAAAAAAAGGTGCTATATGAAATTGAAATTACCTCAGTAGCACTCTTTATAGAGTTTTCATACTCTTGAAAAGATCTCTTTGGGTTTTTCTAGAGCTTTGAATATGGATATAAAGCAATTCATCACATTTCTTCAAATAAATTTAATTGATAACTATTAACTAGTAAGACACTTTGATATACAGATGCTGCATAGTCTTTTTTTACTTTGAAAACTAGTGAGCAAATCTTAGCACATTCCAACTTTTGATTACTTTAATACTCAATGCTTCACTATATACCTTTAAGAAGTGAGTTCATTTGCCGATCATGTGCTATGCTCGCTGTTACCTTAGGAACTCCTACAATATTGATAAATATCATGCGACCGGGCATCACATCCTCTTATACTTACAAGGCTTATTGTATGTAACTCTCGAGAGCCAGGAGGGCATTATCTCCCTGTTTCAGTATGTGAACTAATGCCCTCCTCGCTCTCGGCTGATGATAATGACTGATGCCTTGATATAGCTAAAGTGGGATTCCAAGGGGGTTTTGTATTTTGTAAGGCCACTTTCATTCGAACAGATGGGAATTTCGCATGAAACTGACATTGGATGATTTTATTTTCCACAAAAGCAGGATGTACTTAAAATGGGTCCATAAGCTCATTTTTATAGCGCATCTGCAGTGCAAACTAATGGACCTGAAATGGATGCATGCGGTCATTAAGGAGACAAAAATGATAATTATAAAAAGAACTTGGTGAAATACATTAATATCTTAATAAAGGGATTTCGACACTGGGGCTTGAGTAAAAAGGGGTCAGGATTTTATTAAGGGAACAATAGGAATATTTGGCATAGACTGTAGCAAGGTTTAATTCAAATTTGTGCAAGGGCTGATGAAGCAATTACAATGCTTTAAACAACAACAAAACTGACATTATGTATGTATGTAGGCCCTAAATGCATAATAATCTTTATCACAACAATTATATTCACACATGACCAAAAAAATACAGCTTTCTTCTTGACTATCCGCAACTGAAATTCAGATATAAATCTATTTTTCCCGCTCATTTGATTCTTTTCATAATAAAAATAATTAAAAATACAAGAGCTCCATGGAAGCCAAAAGGCATATACAGTAGGGGCTATTCTAGTAGGTGGGGGGGGGGGTAAATTACTCAAACCTCCTGTAATTTGAATGCTGGGTAACTTGTGCTTGAAAAGGAGGGAAAATAGATCAACATGGATCTATTTGAAGGTGACACTGTTTTTTCAACACATCTAAAGAGACTTTTTTTTCGAGAGGGAGAAAAGAACTGGAAAGCAAATGACAGACTCTAGCTTAACCAGTCACCACACCCTCCCTGTGTAGACGTGTGAATCCCTTGTAACCCTCAAAGCTGGTGGGTTGGGCTTCCCACTGAGCTAAAAGTTTAACTCCTGACTCAGCCCGCCGCTTTTTATTCTCTCTTCACCTCCACGTTCAAACACATTCTCACGCTGAGCTGCATCTAATAGGCCAGATTTAATTGCGAAACCCTTTACTCAAAATCAGAATATAGCCACCCATAGAAACAAGAATTAGATTCCAGGGGGGCCATTCACACTGCTAGCAAAATCCCTGGGTTTTTCTCTTAATCCAAAATTTCGTCAGAAGTTGCTAGGCGACTTACTACCCATAAACACCACGCAAGATCAGAAAAAGACAAAAACGTTCCTCTGAAGTGTCAGAGTCTGAACGTTTATGCAGTGTGAATAGCTTGCTTCAAGATACCAGTGAATTATACCAGTTTTTGCTCATGTAACCGCGCAGATAAGCGGAAATTCACGCATGTGCACTACTCACCAAAAGACAGAATTTGCAAACACCATCATTTTGTGGTTTTTTTTCAGTAGTTGTAAATGGCAGTTTTTAAAAAAATGATGGTTTTTCAAATTCATTTTTCTGCAGTGTAAATGAACCTTTGGCTTTGTGCTCTCTCTCTCTCTCTCTCTCTCTCTCTCTCTCTCTCTCTCTCTCTCTCTCCTTGCATACGCTCCAGCCATTCCCACGCCACGCAGTTCACGGGTATTAATGGGTCAGATTTATAACGTCATAGCTCTAATTCTCTTCACGGGGATCTAGACACATCGTATTAACAGGGGAGAATGGAGATGGAGGAATATATATATATATATTGCAAACGGGGGGAACGAAATGCATGACCTTTTGACTATAATACATGCTGTACATGCATGCCTGCTTGTGTTCCATCAACATTCAGCCACAGGAAAATTCATTAAAATATCTTTGGTAAATAGTCCAGTTAACTAACATATTCAAATGTTATGCATACTTAAATGCTGTTCTGACAACCTAAAAGCTTGCATGAAGTTTGCCTGCCATAGCGACAAGTAATGTAAGCAGACTGGATTCCAAGTATCGTAGTTTATTCCTTAATAATAGGTTACTGGAATACCGCTTCACGAGGTCCGCAGATAAACCAGAAACATACATACATTTGAAAATGTAAGTAAACCGGTCTATTTGAATAACGATGGTATTTCTATCAATTATACTTAACGTAATATATTTCGGTCAGCTCATTATTGGCTAAATGGCAACAAAATTGGCTAAAGAAAATGCAAATATTAGATCAATAACTCAAAAGAAAATCTGATAAAAAATACTTGCACAATAACTAGATATCTACAATATAAAGAAAATTAATTTCAAGAAAAACTAAATTATATACATTTTGACAGGATCTCAAAATAAAAAGAAAAGAAAACTTCATTCATTTTCTTCATCACTTCCAACAGAAAAGTAAAATGTAAGGTTCTCAAATAGATTGCAAAAAAAAAACTGTAGAAATACAGGACATGATTATTAAAAACAAGTAGTTTTTTTTTAAAGCAACATGCATGCTACATGTACATGAAATCCTTTTGTCCTTGTTAACCTTTACATGCTCACACTTTACTATTAAACTATTTTAAATAAAAATTAAAAAACAAATGTATTTTGACACTCCGAGCTATGGTCATTTACACTACAG